AACCTCCTCACCCCACATCGGTGGCCGAGCAAGCCGTGCAAATTTCTCGATGGAAAGGGGCGTGGTGATGCCGGGTTGCGTCATCCGTCGCAGACGGCCGTCGAACCGTCTCGACTTTTTCCCCACACTTCGCTGCGCATCGCGCCGATCAAATAATGAGAATTTTTTGGAATCGCGCGCGGAAGGTATTTAACCAAGCAGCGGAGGTGGGAGATCAGGAGAAGACGGAAGTTAGCGCCAGAGCGCGTAGGGTACTCCACCGTGTAGTCGGCGAAGGTTTTGTTCGTAGTTACAAAGCAGGAGAAGAAAAAATTATGCGCCAGAGTGCATAGGGTGTTCCGCCTTGTGGGCGAAGCCTTTTGTCTTCCGTGACAAAGGAGGAGAAGAAGAAGATTTCCACCTGAAGGGTGAAGACTCGAGCTACAGGCAATAGTGTGTGTCTACCGCTATCGAGCGAAGACGCGTGGCAACAGCTGCGTGTGTGAAGCCGACCAGTTACCGGCGAAGAAGTTTGAAGCTTGGTTAGCGGTCAAGTGAAGACGCGAGGTTTCCTGGAACAGAAACTTCGGGGGCAGTGGAACGACAACAACGCTGGACTTTGAGTGAGTGATTCTCGGAAGAGTATCATCCAGACTTGTTCCAAGGACTTTGGACTGAATAAGTTTCCTAACTCTTTAGTCTTTAAGTGCATTGGTTGTTCGATGCATGCGACTGCATTGTAGTGCGTATTGTTGTCTGTGTCCGTTGTTTCGAGTGTGGCTGATTGTACTGTGTAGTACATTGTTTGATTTGTGACATATTGTATACAAGTATTGTCAAGTGTGCATACTTTTGTATCGTGTCGATCTGCCATAACTGAGAATATAATTTTGTTTTCTTTATCAACTCTCGGCTCTGACATGTTGTTTGGGCCACAGCCGGTGTCCGCTGACGCGCCAAATAGGACCATATCTAAATTGTCCACGCTTTGGTGGTGTGGTTTGGTGGGCCGATACTTCGACCCTTGGAATTAGCCCGGCGATCGCCTCCCGATATAACGGGACTTGTGCAAGTAATCAGCGGTTAAATTATTACAGCAACTTAGTTCAATTTACCGAAATTACTATGCGTAAATGCAGTGTGAAAAAGGAAGAGTACAAAAAAAGTGGAGAACCACAAGCGCTTGTGGTGTTCACTTTTTTTCTACATTTATGCCAAAATAAGTCAGTACCAACTCGCTCAACTCTGTCTTTTGCTTTACCGAAGTTATGTTAAAGAAAAAAAAATGACGGCAGATCCACGAGGTGAATGATGATGAGATTGGGCAAAGCTCCTGGAAGTAATACCGTGAATTTTTCTTCCGTTAATTCGCCTGGCGATATGCGCGCTTCCTCGCCGCTTCCCATAGTAGAAGGTTTTCAAGATCTGCTTCGCGACGTTGACGTGCTGCCTCAGCCTTTAGTTCCTGTACGGAAGGATCTTGCCTAAGCTGACGTGCCGCTACAACTTCTTGTTTCCGTACGACTGAATCTTGCCGACACTGCTTTGCTGATGTTGCTGATGTGGCTTTTTGTTACCGTACAGCAGGATCCTGGCGGCGACGTCGAGCAGCTTCCCGGCGCGCTTCTGCCTCGCGTGCTCTTACTTCAGGGTCCCGTCTGCGAGTGCGCGCCGCCGCTGCCCTGCAAGCCCGCCTTTCGGCATCCTTATCCATACGAGCACACACCAACGGCAACGAGCATCGGCAACTACAAACCTGTATCACTATGATTTGATTATAAAACCATTGCTTAAGAAAACACCTGGCGTCTTTCGTTAAGCAGCAGGCATCTTCTTTTTGTTTTGCTTTAGGAACATCTGGCGTCTTTTCGTTTTGCTTTTAGAAAACATCTGGCGTCTTTCGTTGGTTTATTTCATCAATTAACGGCGTTTTGAACAAAAGTTTTTTATTGTTTAATCACGCACAGGACAAATCTCACCGGGCACTACCTTGCAGGTAAACAATGGCTGCTACTGGGAATGAGAGACAGCAGAAGTCGGCTTTTAACTCTTCTACTTCTACTAACGTTTCCCACTGGAACATGCCAATGGCTGCTAATGGGGAACGAGAGACACAAGAATTCGGCTTTTAGTTCACACGCACGCTGCGAATTTTTTTTGTTCAACAGCACACAGGAGAAATCTCCCACCGGCACCACCTTGGAGGTCACAGCGTAAGACTGGTTACACACTACGACTACGACTACGAAGGACGAACGGGTGCCGGCATAAGGAGCTTCGCCCCTAAAAATTGGCAGATCCCACGTACAGTGGAAATCGATGATATGCGAAGCATGAATGAGAAATGTTCATATGTCACTTTAAAATAGGCACAACATTATGAATTGAAGGTAAATGATGCCGTAGATGACTTCTGTGTCATTATCATGTTTGGATGTGCCGTTTACCTTGGTCATCTATTCACGTCACGTGATACTAAATTTAGTATGTGTGGAGCTAGCGAAACGGCCGCGAGCACGCTATGAGCGTGGTATTTTGTCACGTTCTTACATTACACGCGTGTCAGGATAATCAAGTTTGCACAAGTCATATATTTTGTCATTCATTGACGTCACGTAACACCAAATTTGGCATATGTGGAGCTGGGAAAATGGCCGCGAGAGCATCATGAAGAGCACAATATACTCCAATGGAGCGTTGACGTGCGCGCACGCTGGGCACAGCGACGCTAAGTGTAGCAAAACGCAACCAGCGTGACCAGGTGCGACCACCGTCCGTCGGCGTGGCCCGACGGCAACCGGCGCGAAACGACATGCTGCATTTTACGCCGATGCCATAGAGTATCATTACTCTATGCCGATCCGTTGCCCAGACAACACTGCGTCTCCCTCTTTTCGTCACGGAGGTTCGCCCGGACTCACTAAAACGCGCATGCGTCAAGGTGACGTAGCGTGGCACGCGCCTTCGAGTATATTGCAGGACCACCGCCTGGCGGGGGAACGACGGCGTGAAGCGACAAAAAGAAAAGCTACAAAAACGGGCATTGCTATCTAGTGCTGGTGCGAGTCAAATGCAGACCTCTTGGGAAAATATGGTAGCAATAGCTCGTAGAGAGACTTCAGAGTTTAAAGCGGTTATTCATATTTGAAACCCATCACATTGTCGGGAGGTAACAAAATTCAATACCCGCTTTATAGCTTGGAGAAATTTATTTTTAGAGTAAAAAGAAATTCCCGTGCGGCAAGAACAACGCTTTGATATACTGTTCCTTTTTAAAATCTGGCCGCAAAAATTTCAAGCTAATTCAAATAATGCCGCCACTGTTTGTTTGGTAGCATGACATCACAAAGACCGATGGTCTGTGTCCTCACTACATTTGAAAAACAAACAAACTTGAAAATCAGTGAGATAGTACACAGATATCAGGAAATTCGGAGTGCAAATCAATCTACTGACAAGCACCCACCTGTCTCTCTCATTCTTGTGAATATCTTGTTTGGCCCTTATAACTTTCCCAATAGCCATATTTATTCATAAAAAAACAACAAGGCATCTGAGGGCAAAGCAGTTCAATGCAACATAGAGAAAAAAGAAGCGCGATGCTCGCGAAATCAGCTGCTCTGTTACCTTTCAAGCCTCGTGGATTATGAAGCCGGAGCATTGTACTAATCATCAATTCTCAGTATTTCAGACACGTCATTGTAGATCAAACTCGACGTGCTTCATGATGTAACGTAATAAAGGGTACACATTTGTCAAAACACGCTGAACAGTCCACTTCTACGTCATCGTAATAGCATGTTCCTTTATTCCAAATGCTTATGAATTTGGGTTAGTCACACATTCACGGAATGACCGAGGAATATAAATATTTCTGGTCAAGAAAGTAGAGCTTTTCTACACATTTTTCTCTTCTCTGGGAAAATATCATGCAAGGGTTCTGGCGTGTATGAACATAAATTGTTGTTTACACTTAGCCGTGACCTACTTTCGCAACTGCGTGATCAAACGCACAGCAAAAAAGTGCTATGAATAGCAAGGTGCCTTGGGGGTAGGCATTTCCCAATACATGAGATTTTACTGTGGCGGTTCCATCATTATTTCAAATTATATCGTTCAGCTTGTATTTTGATGTTTAGACATACTGACTGTGTTCTTATGCTAATATCTCACCTATTTGTTACATTGTGTGACCTATTTCATTTATTACCTTTCGTAGTATTTATGAATAGTTGTGACCCTGTAAATAAATTTTTATTGAAATGTATGATTGGTGTTTATCAGTGACCTTTTGTGAGAAGAGTTCCGAGAAATGAAATATTTTGTTGTTTAAAAAAAAATATTTCCTTGGCTTTAAATGCGGAAAGCCCAAAACAGCTAAATGATTCGGAACCGTGGTAGGTTTAGCATGATTGATTAGTATGTGGACTTTAACGTGGTAGGTTTAGCATATATTGGGGCTGTAAGTTGGCAAAGTAATGGAGCCCACGCAAGCTCCATAATAAACTAGTATTTTGTTAGGACACCCTATGATTCAGACTAAAGAAAGGTTCGCAGACGTAAACTCACTCGACATCCAATTTATGAATGTTTTTGTCATTAGACTAAGTCGAACCCGTACTCATCAAAGTACTCCTCGGTGGAGTCACTCGGAATCAGGCTGGCCTAAGTATATCTCAGCTAGAACCTTGCCTCAATCTCAGTCTGAGTGAGTGTGCTTGAGTTTGCCGACCTGTTGGTATTTCAGAGGCTAACTCAGCGGCTCGATCGCCCTTGTGGCGAAACCCTCATTCGGAAAGTCTGCGTCCTTACCCATTCTGTAATTATGCAGACAACGACTACGCCAGTAAACGCCCGAGTAGGCTCCTTAGAGTTGCGTTCTAATATTCTCTTATATTCACCTTGTCTTTCGATAAGTAACAAAACTTATCATGTAGAACAAAGATTTAAGTGCATTCAGCGATATATAATTTGAATAAATAAATAAATAAATAAATAATAATGACAATTGAATGCAGGGCGCAGTTAGACCCTCCGAAAGGAGACCTTCATGAATTTATTTTAATATCTTTGTCTTTCATAGCAGCACTTTTCACTTGAATATTGATGTCTCTTTATTCTTACAGCAATCAATGATATCCACAAACTCCCCTTCTGCAAGTCTGCAAAAATGAACAAAATGAACCCTTTTGTTTTCACACAAATGTTCAGAACATGTGAACACGCAAAATAATTGACACAGCATGCATTGAAACCCACTTAATGCAACATTAGGATAATGAGCTTTCAAGAAGTAAACGAAAATACGTTTCTAAAACTCAATAAATCAACGATTTTTGGCACAACGTAACTCTAACACCCAAAGAAAAACTTCTAATAATAAATACGATTTAGACAAATGGTTATAAATAATGTCTTGTGACCCTACGCAACACCAAGAATTACGCAAGCAAAAAAAAATCATCACCCAAGCACTTCGTAGAAAGGACATGAAATGTGCGTATTTTTACGACATGTAGGCGACGTGCAAAAAACGTGACAGACCTCGGGCTCATGAAATGTTTCACGTTAAAATAAGGTTGAAATGGTAACTTTTACGAGAAAAACACAATAATTTTGCGGAATCCCAAACAGCAGAGAACTCTTTAAGGACACCGCCGACTGCTGATCTGTGAAGAATCAATCTCTGAGTTCGTCATGCTTGTCAGTTCCACATAACCTCCTTTCATCAAAACCAACGTATAAATAGCAATACAGAGCTATTTGTACGTATTCTTCCTTCGTCTCAGTTTTTTTTCACATTAGCTTTTCGTGATGTATTACCAACAAGTCCATTGGGGTATTCGAATGATGTTTACTGAAGTTACAAAACGCAATACTGTACACTTTGCCTTTCATTACTCTACTCGTGCCCTTCCTCATTTATTGTGTTAAATATATATTTCTGCATAATTCGGAACAATCCAATACGGGCCCTAATTATTGGGACTTGTTCTTTAGTATTTAGAGTTTGACGACTTTTATTCAGCGTGGCATGTTTTACTTCACTTCAACGAAACAAAATTCTAGTTTATGCTTGGAAAGCGATACTTCCGTTTTCTTATTTTTTAAGCTTTGCCCCCCCCCCCTAAATGTTTTTTTTAGTGCCAGTAATCGAACAAATTTGCCGTTAATGTAGCATTACACCGTCTATAGGCCATATAACGCCGATCTCATTTATTAGTTGAACTCTGCTGCAACATTTTTCAGCCCGAATCGAATGCTGTGTATTAGTTTGATGACCCTTCCATCCCTATTATGCGATTCTATTTAAATTGTGCCAAAACAATCTCAAATAAATTGCTACCACCTGAAGTGATCGCGCACGTATGGTTCACGATGACATCAAAATTAGCAATACCAAACGCGACATACGCAGAAGTGGCAAGAGTCCCGCGCTTTTGAAGCACCAATTCATGTTGCTTTCTTTAGCGCTTTCGCAATCTTCAGTGTTTTGTTTGACGTCAATATTTGAGAATAGTCCTCAGATACTTGAAAACAACCTGCTGGTCTACTTGAGGCACACTCGTTTGCTGCACTCCTTGCTCAAATTTCGCTACTGGAATGGTGCAGCCTGTTGATTGAGTTCCCAAGAGTGTTCTACTCTTTCAGCCGCTAGTGTTTTGAATATGTGTGTTTCCGTCTGTATCCGTGGAAGTTTTTTTGAAATATTACTTATGCAGCCACTAGCAGGACATTTGCTCGCAGTACGCGAAACTGTCCCTTCCTACCTCAAGGGGTGTGCCTCAAATGAGTATTTACGGAAGCCTGCAAATGAAAGTGTGTGCGAATATCCTGGTAAGGACTTACCAATTAGCGAAATTTCTCGGATACCTCAACGACTGCAGCATACCATTTTCAAGGAAGTAAAGTTAATTATGTAGCATTGACGTGTAAAAACACGCTTTCAGTGTTGTCTAGGTGGTACGGCTTAACGAAATCACGAGAAACCTGATGAATCTCAAATAACTGTATTTCACGCTATAAGTAAAACAGTCGAGTTGCTAAACCATATTTTAAATGAAGGTCACGAAATTCTTCATCAAGCAAACACAAGGTGCCTGGCGTTAGATTTGCCTGCTCAGTTGAAACTAGCAAGAAGAGAGGTGTGCAGAAAATCTGCTTAAAGTAGCGGAGCATCATTACGATGTTCTCGATCGCTTTCCTCGTTGGTAATGCAACAGATGCGCTCATGCAATCAAAAGTAAATTAAATTGATGCAGGCAGGTCTTGTATACGACACGTAAACACAGTGTAAATACAATTTTAGTTCTGCAAGAAAACCTATCACATAACACAAATGTTCTATACGTGGCTAAAACTACAATAGTCTTTTAAGAATACATTACTATACGGGTTCAGCTCTAGCTTTATACAACCTCAGCTTTTACGATCGTTTCGCCATACTTAATGAATTTTCTGTTATCACATCCCACACAAAATATAAGTACACTGCTATTCATGCGTACTCTAAAATATTGTTCCTCGTGACCAAACTGTCTACAAGCTAACATTCCACTGTAATTTACCATCAACTATGAATGAATTAGATGTACCCACCTTGCCTTGCGCACATGTCATACCATCCAGCATTTTGTAAGTCGCGCAACTCATATAACCATCGCCCATTCGGCAACATTTGATATCGCAGTCGGCAGCCTGCAGCACGAAGAAAGTTACACATCACTTATTCCCGTGACTCGTATGCCATGTCTGCATATTTGTACATTACACCAGGTGAAAGTCAGGGCTTAAAGTTCACCGTAGTAATGAAGTTCTAGAAATTTTTGTGTGTACGTTACCACCAAAAACGTTAAGTTAATCTGGATATTAATCTCCAGTCCCTTCCTGGTGTATGTATGTAGGAGGGAGGAGTGATCCGCAACTGCTGCCAGAGTACGCAGCTGCATTGTTGATATGCTCGTTTGTTTGCACGGTCTCACTGGTGACGCCACAAGGTCATGTGCTGATATTTCTGATTAGGAGCCACACGTTGCGAGATTGTGCTAGACTGTTCCTGAAAAACTTGATGGACTTTTCAGACTTAAGTTCATGATCGACAAGCATGGGGAATCAGTAAAAATGATGTCCGGTATATATGCTGAAGTGCTCAACCACATATATCGCCACGACAAAGAAATGGAGCACATAAAAGCCAGATTGCAGGAACTGCAAAGCGTGCGACCACCTTTAAGTCAAATTAAGTTAAACAAGAGGCGTAATACATTTTTGTGCCTTTCATCATTTTACGCATATTTAGTTGTTAGTATACATAGGCATTTATGTTGTTTTGACTGCCCTGTTGAGTCCGTGTTTAGGCGCCCTGTCTCTTAGAAAAAATAGTACTGTATAACTGTGTTGTCTCTTATCGGTTATTAGGCCTGTTTGGTCCTAACGAAACAGTTTCAGTGTAGAGCTAAGCCTGCGCGCTACCTGCTACCTTGCAAGCCATTGTCTCATCGGTCTCAGTAGGCTTCAATCCAACGCATGGTGTGGTTTACAAAAGTCAGACTGCTTCATTCCTGAAAGCCAGTGCATGTAAAAACCGTTGAGCGTTTTCAATACCACGACGCGTTGCGTGATATCGATAATCGCCGTTGTAAACAAGAGTTATTGAAACCTGCGCTCTGATAGGACTACATGAAGATAACATGTTTTTCTCGTACTCATCGCCAAATCCATACAAGCTTTTTATATTAGCTTTGCTGAGGCCCATACACAACATATCATTTTACTTGTTCAACTCGAGATTTCTTTCCAGTTTTGCTTACGCAGGAATAACCAAATTCCCCAATAAGCACCATTCCTAAAACAGTCGAGGTTAAGTGATGAACCTTCAGAAGTGCTTGTGAATCCCTCTGAAAGTGACACTTATTACTTCAAAAGTGTGCCTTGTACATATCTCACCTTTTGCACGATGACTTTTTGTCCTTTCGCTCTTTTTTGTATAAGTCTTCTGCAGTAGTAGTTCTTACGAATAGTCTGGCCAGGATATTTATTGCGTCCCTTCATATAGTTCTGCCTGCTCAGAACACTAATGCATTTGTCTGACAGTCTCCTGAAATAATCATATGAACCATGAGGATGTGCATCGTCGATGAAACAGGTGACGTGCTTGACGTTCGGGTACTAGACCGCTATTTTGCCGAGTCAATTCTTATCAACGTAAAGGTATTTTAGACGTATCTATCTATCTATCTATCTATCTATCTATCTATCTATCTATCTATCTATCTATCTATCTATCTATCTATCTATGCACTACGTGTGGTCATTGCCTGGTCGTCTGCATTTCTTCGTATACACATGATATAATTGCCCACGCTTTTGGTATCTCAATGAAAATGTCGTTGAAAGACAGCATCCTTCTTCCGCCTAATGAGTTCTGAAGCACACCGTGTATAGTGGCTTATATTTTATTAAGCAGCCATTCATGTTTACCTTGCCTCAGACAGCCCCTTGTCTATGTTGAAGTAGCTGCATCTGGCTGGTATTTATAAAGTAAAGAAGGAGATATGCATGCCATGTGACAGCGCCTTTGGGAAAGATATGCTTTTGCGAAACCCAGGGTCAGTGCCACTGGTAACTACATATCATTAGCAGAGCGCTTCTAAATGCGAATGTATTTTTTATCGAGCTATGTCAGGCGTCCGTCAGATCCGTCCACCGCCCTCTCCCATAGCAACAGCTGCAGGCGCATGCATCCGTTGCAATCGGAGCCTCCACCTTTTCACGCTTTGGCGTCGGCAGCTGACAGCAATTCTGTCTTTGGTCACGACGGGGCCCAAAACCTTGATAGCTTTTATGGAGAAACGGCATTTTTTTGTTGAGTTGAAGACCGGTGGCAAGGCACGTCAGCACTTCATCCAAACGTTGCAAGGGCTGAAGAAACGTTGATGAAAAAATGATGATGTCGTCCAAATAGCAGAGACAGGTCTTCCATTGGAGGTCGTGCAGCACGGTGGGATCGAGCGCCCAAATATAGCGCGCGCATTGCACAGCCTGAAAGGCATAACGTCGAATTTGTATAGCCTGTCGGGAGTTGCGAATGCCGTTTTCTCTTTATCGTCTTCGTGCATAGAAATATTTCAGTATCCGGAACGCAGGTCGAGGCTGGAAAAGTATTTCGCGCCTTGTAGAAAATCAAGGGCGTCGTCAATGCAAGGCATTGGGTACAGATCCTTGCGAGTGATTTTGTTGAGCGCCCTGTAATTGACGCAAAAGTGCACGGAGCCATCCTTCTTACGTACCCAAACCACAGGCGACGACCTAGGGACGAATGAAGGGCGAATTGCCTCTCGTTTGAGCATGTCAGCTGCGTTTTCTTCGATAATTTTTCTCTCAGCAGGAGACACGCGGTAGGGCCGGCGGCGTACAACAGGTTGTCCGGCTGTGTGGATTTGATGCGTTGTAGTAGTAGTGTGGCCCAACGTTGAGGAGTAAACATCGAAGGAACTTGCGTGTTTCTTTAACAAAGCAAGTAGCTGTTGCGTCTGTGAAGGTGTCAAGTCGTCGCTAATGGCCGCAGTAAAGGTGTAAGAAGAAGCACGCTCACCCCTAGGGTTGTCGCTGGAGGAGACGGAATGAAGTGGCACGACGCACGCAAGCTCCAGATCTGTCATGCAGGCCACCGTGGTGTTCTGATGAAGTAGAATTTTTTCGTATGTCGTATTCATAACGGTGACAAGTGCGGAATAATTGAGGAACCGAACTAAACCGGAAGTGAGAATGATGCCTTTACCTACGCAACTGAATGTTGGTGAGACCAAGACGCCGCCAAGGTCGATGTCCTTGGAGGTAACATATACAATTCACTCTTGACATGGTGTTAATTCGGTATCTTCCGCAGCTTTCAAACGAAGTTGCCTCTGGGGGTCGTCGTTGAGCGTGCAATTCGTGTCAGTGAGGTGGACGACGCGTTGGCTACCGCAAATAGCCGTGGAGGCACAAGAATGAAAATCCCACCCTAAAATTAATTGGGGAGAGCAGTCAGTCAGGACGGCGAACTGAATGTGGTGTTGGATAACATCAATGAGAACGCTGGCTGTACAGGAAGCGAAAGGGCTAATAATATATGCCTGGGCAGCAACCAACGTGGGTCCATCATAAGGGGTCATCACTTTGTTTTCAGACGTTGGCCTAAATAAACACGCATAACAGAAAATGCCCACCCGTGTCCACCAGAGCATCTACGTACACTCTTCCACTACCACCGAAATCATTATGCACGGGCCTAGTGGAGGAATATCAGTCCTAATTCGGAATACACTTTTTCTCCCAGAAACTTCATCACTTAGTTTTCCGAATGACTGGCAGTGACGAATGAGGCAGGCCGAAGTGGGGAGGAGGAGCGGTGAAGGGGTGTTGGTGAACGGCGTCTGGAGTTTCAGATGTTCCGAGGTGCACTCAATGCGGGCGGAGAGGGAGACTGGTGTGCAGGTGATGAATGGCGTTGACCTTCACAGTACAAGGTATCTCGTTCACGCATGTCGTAACCGCGGCGCTCGTCTTGCTGGCGCTTGTGGCAGAAACGAAAAAAGTGGCCACCATACCCACAGAAATAGCAAACAGGGCGAGATGAGCGACAAGGGGAGGGTAGAAACCATTCGGAGTACCTGAAGAGACTGCGGTCAGGTGTGCAGAGAAAGGCACAGGCGGGATCGAGCGAAAATTGAGCGGAGAAGCGGCAGCGAGTGACGCGTACGATGGTAGCGTCAACGTCGTGTTTACCTCGCTTGGAGGCATAGCAGTGACCTGCGCGTAGGTTCGTATGGGCTGAGACGAGGGTGACTGGACATGAGCCAGAGAGTTTAGAAATGTCAGTTCCTCCCTGATAATGTCGCATAATGCCACTCCAGTAGAGTGTGGAGAACATGGTTGAGAAGGTGGGAAATCCATGTTCAGCAACTCTTCACGTATTATGTCTCTTATGAGGTCTCAGAAAGGTCTGTTAGATTGTTCGCCTATGTCTGGTTGTAGACGAACCGATTCCAGAGTATCGAGGCGCTGACACATTGTGACGACGTCGGCTGTGGTAGCCGAGTTCTGAGCAATGAGGGCATTGATGGCAACAGGGCCTAAACCCTGCAAAATGTGGCGTACTTCGTCCGTCGCTGGCATTGATGAATTGGCCCGCTGGTAGAGCGCAAAAACGTCCTTAATGTACAACGTGTACGACTCACCGGAATGTTGGTGGTGAGTGTCGAAGGTTCTATTCGCGACTGCGGACCGAATGACCGGTGTGCCGAAAACATGACGGAGCTGCTGCTCGAAGGTCGCCCAGTCGGGTATGTCGATGATATGGTTAAAGTACCACGTCTTCACCACACCGGTCAAGTAGAAAGAGATGTACCGGAGCTTGGCGCTATCGTCCCAGCAATTAACAACACTCACGCGGCTGTACTAATCAAGCCAGTCCTCCACGTCTTTCCCGCGAGGACCGGCGAAGACAGGGAGATCACGCTGGTGACTGTGTACGTAAAGAAGAGGCGTTGCTGAAGACGGCAGGGAAGAGATGGCAGCAAAGTTGGCAGCAGCGCCGGCAGGCACGTTCTGTGACATGCTGCCTGACAGGCATAGCAATCGGCAGCCTGAACGCAGCTCCAAGGGAATTGAGCGAGGTGGGAGAGGATCAAGGACCGAAAGTTCACCTCCACCACATATGACGTCCGGGGTTAAACAGCGTTTATTGAGCCAATGGCTCAGCAGCGAACGGGCAGTCTGAGACCAAGTGCGCACACTCCCAATGATGATTGTTGTGACACCCAGTGAAAATGTGGACAGGGAACAAGACGGATGATGATGATTATGATAATGCATATATAAGAAGAAGCGCATAATGAATGCCCACAATATGTATATTTTTACACGAAAAATCAACACAGCGCCAACGTTGGCAAAATTCCACTATGTTGTAACATAGCCTCGTAACAACTTGATTTTCTCATAAGAGCATAATTGAGTGACTACTGTTGTGATGGAAAACTACGCCGTACTTGTTGGTTTCCTCCGAGTGCAGACAAGTATGACCACTGTCGAAAGTGGAAGGGGGGGCTCAGTGGGGGGGCTCGTTCCCCATGCCCCCCCCCTGGCTGATACGCCTATGCTTGCGAGCGTTGAAGTGGGATTTATTTGTTCAAGTCAAGTTGAACTCCCACCGTGAAAAGGCATGAAAAAACTTTTTGAGGCGTCTCAGACGGGTCACAATGTCAATTGAGAACACAACAATATCGTCCAAATAACAGAAGCATGTTTTCCATTTCAGACTTCACAGAATGGTATCCATCTGTCGGTGCCACTCGACATCGCACACCCAGATTCCCAGGCAGCGTCTCGGCGCCGGCACAAGAAATGCCACACTACGAGAACGTAGACTCCGGGCCCTGAGCGCGTCACCTGGGCGTAGTTGCCATGAAGCGTTGCTTCGACGATCATTCAAAAAGAAAAAAAGTGAGCTCATGAGGTGGGAACGCGTTGCCACGATCACCAGCGAAGAGAGCGAGCCGAGAGACGAGTGACGTCGGGCGCAGCCGATCGAGCTCCAGCAAAGAATCCCGTTTCCTTGTACATGTCACTACTGTCTATTCACTTGTAATTTTAGTACAATACAATCTACTTCTTAAAAATGAAACCCTGTTTTACCCCAATCATTCGCCCATCACTTACATCGAGTAGCCGATGACAGAATGTGAATTAACCGAGCTGCATGCGGAAAAGGAATGACTCCTTAGAAGGAGCGACGCCACGCCGTACATCGTCAGGGGACTCCGAAGTGACTATTGTCGAAAACCTGCTCACGACCCTCGATAGCGGCATGATGGCCAACGCTGAGAAAAAGCAGCCCGTCGACGAGCTGAAGATACGAGGTCTACGAGGTTCCGGAAAAAAAGGACGAGCTCATCACACGACTTATCCGCGACAACACCACTCGCCAAGCCCCGGAGCAATCGGACTCGTCAACGAACGACCACGCCGCCTACGACGACGACAAGCAGGCGCACGTAGAGACGCTGTCTGCCGACAACGCGAAGCTTCGTGGACAACTGAACAGTCTGCGAG